CACAACTTAAATGTGGGCTAGGCTTAGTAACTTGCTCCAGAAAGTACAATATGAACAAGGGGAAGAGGACCGTAACCATACAGTGGAGGAACTGGCAACATTCCTGCAGCCAGGAGATCAAAGTTAACATTGTCAGTGGTAAGTCATGCTGATAGCCTCTACCCTTGACTTTGTGACTGGGGAAGGTAGCTCATTTCTGTAATCTTCTCCCCCAACCCCATAACTCTAGTTTGCATAGGACAAAATCATCAGACATATCCACATAGAGGGACATTCTACAGAACATTTGACTAAAACTCTTCAAAACTGTCAGCCATCAATAAAAAGGGACGTCTGAGAAACTGTCATCACCCAGAGGCAGCTAAGCAGACTTGACAACTACATATAATACAGTATCCTGAAGGGAAAAAGGATACTGGAAAAAAATCTAAGGAAATCATATAAAGTATGGACTTGTAATGCAATTGTATTACTCCATTACGCATGAAAAATTGGCTTATAATGTAAGATGCTAGCCATAGGGGATCCTAGGTGGAGGCCATATAGGACCTCTCGGCATTGTCTTGGCAGTTTGTCTGAAAATCTTAAATTATTATAAAGTAAAATAGTCATTTAAATATTTAAAAATAGAGCTTCTAGAAGATCATATAAAATATATATGACCTTGAGGTAGCAGCATTTTAATTAAATGGAACACAAAAATCCCTACTCATAAAGAAAAATATTGCTAAGATGTGAACTATGTTAAAATTATCATCGAAAGCATCATTAAATGAGTAAAAAGGAAGCCACGGGGTGAGGAAAATGATGTTTTAGATAAAGAACGTGTATTCAGGATAACACACACACACACACACACACACACACACACATACACACACTTCCATATATCAATAATGCCTGATGACACAATTGGAAAACAAAAAACAAGAACAGTAAACATCCATAGTCAATGAACAAGAAAATGTGCTCAATATCATTAATCATCAGGAAAATGCAAATTAAATCTACTGAGATTCCAATAATTTGACCAGAATGGCTAAAATTAGAAAGATTAAAAATACCAAGAATGTGTAGCATTGGAATTCAATACTCTGCTAGTGGGTGTGTAAATTGAGAAATTGATGCAACATTTGGAAAACCGTTGGGCAGTACCTACTAGAGCTGCACATGAACATGTCCACATGCCTTATGGCTTAGCAATTCCACTCCTCAGTCTACATCAAGCAAATGCATGGAAATGCACGCACCAAAGATACACAGTGTTCACTGCAGCAAGTTCTGGGTGAGGATGAGGCAAGCGAGGCTCCTAGGTTCTCATTCTCACGGTCATAAAATGCTGGCTCTGCACTCTACGTGCCCCTAAAAACAGGTGCTTCTTAAATTTTGTGCCCTGCGTGCCTCACTTGATTCACACTAGTTCTGACCCTGGAACAGCATCATGTTTCCTACCAGCTATGAAGCAGACCTTGTTCGTACTCCCCACGCCCCCAGGAATCCTGTTTCCCTAAAAACTACAGGTGGCACTTGCTCCCTTCACAGAGCCCAAAGTGCCTGAGAGGTAACTCCATACCTGCCACAGGGTATAAAAGTCCCCTGGCTTACCTTAAGACAAGAGAAATGATTTCGAGGTGCAATTTATTCTCTATAGTTCCCTGAAGGGCCAGTCTGGGGTTAGACTTTACACAAACTCACAATCATCCTTAGCTTTTCTCTCAGGCCCAGAATATTCTCCATCCTGCTTCCTTTACCTCCTCACTGCTTTCCTCTAGAACATCCCTGAATAAACCACTTATACAAAATCCCCTTCTCTGCCTCCGCTTCTAGGAAAAGGGCCTATGATAAACCCTAAACTGGGAGCCACCCAAATGTCCGTCATGGGAAAATGGATCAGCATCTCACACAAGGGATAGCAAAGCATGGGAAGGAGTGAGCCATTGCCACAAGCAACCATGTAATGAAGCTCATGATCCTGTTGTTTAGGAAGAAACTAGGCACAAGAGTGAGTAGCACATTTGACCTAAGACAAAGCTTATATGCAGCATCACCATGGCATTAGAAGTGAGGACTGCATTTGTTTCTGGGGAAGAGTGAGGGTATAGCAGGCCTAGTCTAATGGCAGCTTAAGGAATTCAAGATTATTCTTGTTCTGACTTGTGTAGAAATTAAAGAGATGTTCATGGAATTCAGGTAATATAACATTCCAAGCTCAGTGGAAAGGAAGAAATTTCCTAGAGGTTTTTTTTTTTTTTTTTTCCAAGTTCATTCATTTCATTCATGATTGAGAATATATGCAAGAAAGAAAAGAGAAGGGAGAGGAGAAAGAAGCACTCTCACTAGGGTCTGATCATGCTGCAATCTCCTTCCCTCAGTACTCTAGCTCATCAGGATCTTGGAAGTCTATGCACGCACACCACGTATTTGAGTCCACTAAGCCAGAAATTCGAACTCATAGTTGGCCAAGTGGCTTCTAGCAGTGCAGTGCAGTATGTTGCCAGCCACGCCACAGAGCATGGGCCTAGAAGAGTTTATGAAACTGACTATCGCTAAGTGTCCTAGAGTGATCCCCTAATAACTGCTTTCCCAAGTTTTACACTGTTACCATAGCAACCTGCTTACACAGGGCAGGGGCAGAGTTCCCAGTGTGACTTGTTCATTGTTCTTTGTCATATTGGTCTTCCAAGATTTACAACTCTATTGATGAGTTTGCCTTTGAGATTACTTAACCTGAAGTCCAAGTCAGGCAAGTTTTCACACACCAGGGCAATTTTTTATGCTAAAAAGAATTCTGGAAATAACAGGAGTACTACAATTAAAATAGAAGATAACCAAAAGGACAAAGAAAAAACATTTTGAGCCATATGCAAAAAAAGAAAATAAATGATCATTTGTAACTATAAATTCATTCTACTTTGAAGGGAAAATGTCAGGTACCTGTAGAGAATGGAAGCAGGAGAAGGCTTGACATTTTTCTGTGCTTTTAAATCACTACAATTCTATTTCAGTTTTGCAATTAATATTAGTCTCTCTACAACCTTGCTTTCTACAATATTCTTCCGATGAAAGAGCAGAGTCTTTAGAGGCAGATAGATGGAATTTAATTCTTGCCACAACATTTTCTAGCTGTGCATCTTTGGACATCCTACCAACCTCTTTAACTGGTAAGCTTTCCTTTTTAAAATTTATTTAGTATCATAACCTTGTTTATATTCTAAGCTTTCTTATTAGAACAATGGGTATGATTATAGCACTTGAACTGCATATAGAGGACAAATTAGTTATTTAGGGAAAAGCACCTAGGCCGTCTTGAAAGACCATCTTCTCATTTCTTTCAGCAGCAATGGTCATCATTGGTGTGTTCTAAATCCAATTTTGAGAGGATTTATTTGCATATGTATCCATTCATTTGACAAATAGATATTAAATTTTTGGGATATGTCAGACACCTGTCTAGTCTTTGGGTATTTACAGATGAACAAATGAAAGTTGTGGAGCCAGGGAATTCACACTACCTGGAAGATTCAGATACAGACACAGAAATTGAGAATAAAAAGAATAGGCAATGGAAAACAGTAAGACTACAGGGTGGTGGGTGAAGGCTGCAAGAAAAACTTTGCTTCAAAACCAACATCATTGCTTCTTAGGTATACGACCTTAGCCACATCAGTTCACCTCTGGAGACTTTGTTTTCAAATGTGTAAAATGCAGATTATAGCATGTGCCTCATACAGGTGAATTTGTGTTTTCCTGATTTTTGTTGTTGCTACATTTTATTGAATGCCAAGATAACTGTGCTAGGTACTGTCTATAGTACCTGTCATTGGGAGGCTTTTATCTTAACAGAAGAGTGAAGGCAAACAAACTCATATTTTAAAATATATATAATGTCACAGAGTAGTAAGTATTACCACAGAAAGGATAGAGAGTGAATGGGAAGAGGCCCTTTAGGTTATACTTAGGAGCTTCTGGGCACACTTACTTGATTCTGGTCCTGAATGGTGAACTGACACGTCATCTGGAAATGACTGGAACAGTGCCCGAGGCCAGTCAAGGGTGAGGAAGTCAATTCAGGCATTTTTCCATCCCACCACCTGCCACCTGGAAACCATTGTAGAGAGAGAGATCCCCCAAAGGCATTATAACCTCTATGTCATAAGCTAGTCACCTGAATCAGAAATGGCGAAGAGTCTGAATTACTCACTTGAAGTACCATGGTGCTGCCAGGCCAGGACAAGAATAGTCACTACTATGACCTATCCCAAGATGTCACGGGGCATGGATGACTGACCTGAAACTCCCCCAATGGGGTCGGGGCGGGGGGGCATGTACAGGAAGTAGGGAGGCAGAACAAGAGCTTCCTCTTGCTTACCTGGCCTGGTCAACACCCCAGGCAGAGAGTAACAGTGATTTAGGCAAGGAGAAATGACAGGTTGAGCTGAGATAACACAATACAGGGAGAAGGTGGCTGAAAATCCAATCTAGGGAGGTAGTTAAGGAGACAGGAGAGGTACAGTGGGAAGTGGGGTCCCATGTGAGCCTGCACTCTGAATGCTAACTTATCTTGTTATATACAAAACACAAATGCAAAGATAAATGCATCAGGAATTGTAAGATATCACTCTGAGAGCATTAAGCCGTGCTAGGCTCTCCTGAGCACAGTGCCCTGTGCAAGAGCACTGGGGATGTGTTTTCGAGATCTTCAGGCACACAAATAACACTAGCCAACTGCCTGTGAAGCAGAAACCTCATCAGAATTCAGGCAACTTACAGAATCAGAAAGACTAAATACTTGGCCCCTATTTAGTGACTAAGCTAGAGGTACAGGTTTCACATGCCTGACCACATTTCAGACTGAATATTTGTAGCCAGGGAATGGACTGTAGTAGATTATTAGCCAAGAGATCTATCAACATTGCTCTCATTGCTTGTCCACACATACCGCTTCTCCCATAAAGAGGGAAATTGAGGTTCCACCCCTTGAATCTGAGTTGGCCTGGTGATTCATTTTGAGCCACAGAATGTTGTGGAAGGACAGTGTGACTTTCGGAATTAGGTCCTAAAAGACTTTGTGGCTCCCATTTTCACTTTCTTCAACTCATCCTGGATATCACAGGCCCCAAAAGCTACCAGAAGCATACAGTGGTATCACCCCTGCTGAGGACGGGAGGACAGAGCTGAGACCAGGTGAGCCATAGAGGATGGAAGTCGTACATCAGTGTTATTTCAAGCCACTGAGTTTTAGGGTCATGTGTGATACAGCAGTTGTTCACTGAAACACCTTGTAACTCACAAGTATAGGACTCTGACAACCTCAGTGTGAACAGACAGAATGAGGGGGGCAATTAGTAAACCTAAAGAAAGCAGATGAGTTTTAAATATTGCATCCCATCCCTTGGTTGCCCTGTACATTTGTGCATCCTTCCTTTTGCAAGTTTCAGAAATACTTCTTGCTTTTTTTAAAAAAAAATCATCCCATATATAAATGAAAATGTGCCAAAATCTTCCCCAGAGAGAGACACGCCCAAAAATGCTTTCAGTTACTGCATCCAGTTCCAAACCCACACTTTATGATTGAACTCTTATTAATTATTTTCTGCTGTATCTTTTTATGATCTCTCAACCTATGGTATTTGTAATGATTTTTTTAAATTTGCCAGGGGGTATGTACAGTCACCAAAGATATATATAGAGAGAGACAGAGAGGAAGAAAGTACCCTCTTCGCCCAGTAGGGCATTGTCATGCTATAATCCCTTCTCCTCCATTTCTCCACCGATATTTTCAGTACACACGCACATGTGCCCGGCATGTTTTTCAAGCCTTCAGGACCTGAATTCTAACCCCACACGGGATCCAGTTTCCTTAACTACTAAGCCACAGAGCAGCCCTAAAGCTTCTAATAATTTTAACTAGAAGTGACACATCCAGTATTTAATACTGGGGGAAGGCAGGAAAATTATAAGGTCAAAAGTTGTCTCTACCTTTGTATGGGGAGGGGGGCATTTCATCTATTTGTACAGCCATCCTACTGGGCACTGTGGTCAGAATCAACTGTTCTGGCAGGCCAAGGAGTTTTCTGATCAGTTAATCTGGCCCATTCACGTCTACTCTTTGAAAGACTTTCTTTTGTCTATTTTTTTGTGCCACCTTGTTTGAGACAAACGCTGGCTTTCTCTATAGGCCTTTGGTCTTTAGCAGTCCGCTTCTCGTAGTCTCAGAGGCTTCGAGAGTTGTGCAATCAATTGACCTACATTTGCCAGGATTAAAGTTCTTTCTCCCTACCACTCCCCTAAAATCTTAGTCATCTGTTGAATGATTCAGTTTCTATAAACACCACTAGCTGGTAACCAAAGACAAGAGCTTTTTGAGTCAATCTTTAAATCTGGATACATTTTTGAAGTTATTGTTGCTCATCAACTAAATGGCTTCCATGGGTGATGGAAGGGGAGTAGGGGAGGAAGGCTAACCTGTCCTAGTGCCTTACCTTCGGGCTGTACATTAGACTACACGAGAGGATGGTTCTGGAGGAACACATGAGATCAAGCTTCCCCCATTTCCAGCTCCCGCTGGACCACAATCTTGTTTCCAGCTGTACCTGTCAGCCTCACTAGCTTTAAGAGGTAAGGATGTGGGCTTTTGCAAATTCACAAGCAAGCGTCATAAATCTGGAGATCACAACTGAGGCAGAAAATGCCTCTAAGTGAAATACTCACCATTTCCTTCTTTTTTCAAGAGGATTAGCTTGGATGGAAGGCTGCAATGTAGTAGGGAGAGTTGTAACATGAGAAAAAATACTTTCTAACATGGTTGATATTGTCTACAAGTTCTTCAAGTACCAAACTCAGAAGACTCAGGGTTGGAGGGTCTGCTTTCTCATCACGTAGAAGAGAAACTGCCAGCTTCCCAGACACAGCAGAGGACTCTCCATACTGTATACCCGACCTTCAGTCAGGTAAACCTCTATATGGGACCTGTCACTCATGAACACTAATTTATTGGTAAAATGGGTCTCTCTCAAAATAATTCAAATGCAAATAAATTAAGAAAGAAAGAAGAGAGCAAGAAAGCAAACCATAGACTTAAAATTCAAGGTAGAAACTTTTTCCAGGCATATCCAGATCAAGGGGCTTGGCTGGTGCCATTGGGCTCTCAGTTTTTTTAGTGTCTTGACTGTTGTCCTGTGCATTAACTTCATTCTCAGATAGAATTCTTGAAATATAATAGAAAAGATATCTTCTGGATATCCTCTACTTGTATTTCCATAGTTCATGATTCCTGAAAAAAAGACCACTTACATATCATGTTTTAAAGTTTATTGTTTTCTCCCATGAACAAGAAAACCAGAAGGACAGGAAAACAGGTGCCCCACACAATCCTAGTACCATGACTTACTTCCAGCCTCGGCCAGCCTGAGACAGGCTGTGCATGCCCAGAGTATTCAAGGAAGTCTCTGAATGTAACTCGGAGCCCTTGATGGGAGAGTCAGGCTCACAGACTGTCAAGTGTTACCTCTGCACCACCATCAAGGCTTCCCAATACATAAGTTTTTATAGAAAAATTGTAACTAGTCCTACCTGTATCAGGGACTGTTCAAGGGACATGGTATTGCCCAGTACCCAGGCCTTGTTTTTTCCTCTATATCCAGATTGGGCAGGAGATGGGAGACGATGGCCAAAGTCAAAGGGAGGACCTCTAAATGGAAAAAAGTAAACACAATGAATGGTGATTACTGTTGCTAATACAGAATGTGTCCTTACACTTTTTACCTGAACTAGTCCTGAGATTTCTCCCAGTGGAGAATGAAAAGAAACCACCAATAAAGATTTCCAACCTCTTTCATAACCAGGACTTTCCAGTCATGTCTGAGGGTATGAAGAGTGGCAAAATTGGGACACTCTAAATGAGTTTCTCAGGTGCCTTTTTTGATGTGGTCTTGGCTTTCTGATGGCAGGGCCCCCGCTACTGAAACTTGCTAGTGAAAGGTGCTATGCCCTAGCAAGCTGACAGTTTGGGCAATGCCCAAGCCCTGTAAAGCTTCTGAGTGCCCTTGTTCAAGTGCAGGGTGTCTTCCCACCTCAGCGCTGTGCCCCAGACCCCAAGCACAGTGGCTTTATGCCTTTTTGCCTACTCACTGACAGATCTAATTTGATTATAAGATGAATGGATTCTCTCCAGACTCTAGCTCCAAAGGAAACTATGGCTGTGGTTGTTTTTAATCATAGGGAATGGCTTGGTGGAGACTCTCTTTTCTTTGCAGAGCCTGGAACACATTCAAAGTCAACAGTGAGGTCAGTTCCCTGTAACTGGCCACAGTGACAGCAGCAACCAGCCCCGCCCTTCCTCAGAGGTGCTTACAAATTCAAAGGCCCTGAATAAGCCATGGATTAAAATTGTTTCTTTCTTATATATTTTTGCCTGGTGTTATTTTTAAAAACCCACATGGTTAGTGCTGAAAATATGGAAAACACACATTTGTCAAGAAGAAAGTTAGATCACTCCAAATCTTCAAGTGAACAGCTCTTAACACATCAATAGGCTTCTGACTCAGAGGGGCTTAAAAAATAAACCAATCCTGGGCAGGAACTCAAGAGGAAATGTGAGCCCAGGCATGGGGTGATCAGTCCCGCCCTTTCCATCATGGTTTCCTGCCTTCTTTGCAATGTTTGCTTTGCCCTCATGACTACTTTCCTTTGCAGCTGAGGCCACCCTGGGCTTTATTGTTCATCTCCATGCAGAGAAGGAAGAACTGCCTCCACCCCTTGTGGTGCTACAATGGTGCTCTGCGGTCCCGGTGGGCCAGTTGCATTCTGGTGAGAAGCAGGAGGAGGTAACTGACCATGCAGCTCCCTACATTGCACTTCTGAGAGTTCTGAGTTTCGAAAGGTAATATATGTGAAAGCCACATATTGTTGGTAGGTATTAACTGTTAGAAGTAATTGTCAATAGGTGTTATATTAGCATCACAGTGGCAGGACTTACTAACACATGCATTCTTTGTTTTTGCCCTTGTACTCAATGTTTTCCTTGATTAAAGGCAAATACTTGCTGGACTGGCTACAAGGCAGCTTGGATATGAGAGATGAGAGGAAAAGGGAAGTATCTTAGCCCAAGAGGCCATGTCAATTTAAATTTATGTTAGAGAATACAGGAACAAAGGGTTGGGATGAGGGGAGAGGAGAACTGGATGCCCAGGAGCTGTGGGGTGAGGGAGAGTGTCTGAGTGATGCTCAAGCAAGTACAGAGGATTCAGGGGAAAGACTGTGAAGGGTTGATGTGGATGACGAATTAGATCAGCATCCAAGTTTCTCAAAATACGTAGATGTTTAGAATGCCTGAAAATGACATTTTGTGGCTATACTGGGCTTCTTCACATGTGACTTTATTGAGGGGATGGGCCACATGTGGATGCAGATTATGCCTGGGTTATGGTGTAATTTATATGCAAGCTCTCTTTTCCACTAAGTATAAAATGCTGGAAAGTCAAATATAACTTTGTCATTTTTTAAAAGTGCCAGAGGACATGTAATCTCAGAAGAGAGAAAGAGAGAGAAAGAAAATGAGAAAATACCCCACATGAGGGATAGTTACACTGCAATCCCTTCTCCATCTCTCTCTCCTTTTGGGATTTTGGTCATGTATGCACATGTGCTATGCATATTTTTCAAGTTGTAGGGCTTGAGATTTGAACCATACAATTGGCCATGTGGGCTCCAGCTGCTTTAACTGACACTCCATGGGCTGGCCCAACTTTGTCATGTTTTTTTTTTAAAAAAGTGTACTTCTTTCGTGAGAATGACAGACAGAAAGACAGAGAGAGAGAAAAATAAGCACAGCTGACAAACTCTCATGCCATGATCCGACCTTCCCAGCCAGCCAGGGTTATGGGTGTATATACTTAGCATCTACAGGCCAATTGGGAACCAGGCCTGCAGTCTCCCATGTGATCCTGTATTGCCTGTGTAACATGTAATCTCTGCAGCACTGATCGGGTCCCCTTTTATCTTATGAACAACGTTTAATTCAATGTCTGTCATAACATAGAGACTCAAAGCTTTCTGAATTCAATCACAGTGGGAATGAAGGGAAAAGATGGAACTTAAATATATTAAGCACCCACAGCAACCTAACACTGCACACAAAATGAGGAAAGGACAGTTCAGGGGGATCAAGAGTCTTGCTCAAGATTAAATTTATGAGTAAGGGAGCCAGACTTCAAACAAGGTCTGTGCAACTGTAGTTTATGCTTCTAACATGACTCCATGAGGACCAAAGAAAGCCAGTGTCCAGAGCTGGAAAGAGAAGAAGGCACTAGCTTCAGATCAAGCAGTTCCTGTCTTGCTATAGTTAATAGCTATATATAATACAATGTCCCCACTACATCCCCACAGCCTACCAGAGTGTGTGACCTGTGAGGGGAGCCAAGTAAGCATTTGTTCCATGAGTCTATGAGTGAGAAAAGGAACTCAATGAAGAATAGAGACTCAAGAGAGGTTCAGAGAATGAGAAAGGAGAGAAAAAACTAGAGGAAGAAAAAGAGAAATATAATAATGAGAGAAACGAGGAAAAGAAGATATACAGAAAGAATAAATTAAGGATTCGGAAAGTGTCAGAAGAGAGAAACAGGAAGAGGAAGGGCAGAGGAGCAAAGGGCCTGGAAACATTTAGGGATATTGTCAGAAAGCCGATCTAGGGTGAAGAGCTTAAGAAAGAAATGCTCAAGAGTGGGAGGCTGAGGACAAAGCCCAGCCCCCCGGGGAGCAAGGGTTAGAGATGAGAATCTCTTCCTTAACTGCATAGAGTCAATTTGGGCCCCACTGGGCAGGGGCGATGTGCAGTGTGCTCACATATGAGAATCCATATTTCTGTCTTGAAAGTCCTGGTGCAAGAAAATGCTGGAGTCACACATACATAGTAACTACAGGGAACAAAACTCCCAATGTAGTTATAATAATCTTCCTATTCTTTCTCAGAAAAAAAATCAATACACAGAGGCATCTGTCTGTCCCCTGTGACCAGCCCGAATGTTCTCTCCATATCCTGTTTCCAGCAGCTCACCTCTCACCTGCCCCCATAACACTCCAGGCTGTTTCCTGCTATGAAAGATGACCCAGCTCTGTGTTAAAGATTGGAAGAGCATCTGCAGCAGGAAGGCAATAGCCATGAGTGATGCAGGACAAACACACAGGGTGCAGCAGAAAGGGATCTTTTGAAAGTAGAGGTAGACCAGCAGTGGCGTCATGGTTAAGGTGCTGGACTTCCACATGGCTGACTGTAGTCTAAGTCCCAGACCCAGAAGCTTGAAAATCACATCAGGTATATATGCATATGTTCCCAACATCCCAGGAGGAGAATGAAGGAAAAGAGATGGCAGCACGGCCATCCTCCTGAGGGGTAATTTCTCACTTTCCCTCTCTGTCTCTCCACCTCTCTGTCCAGCAAGTATACACATCTTGTGGCAGAAAGTTAACTAAAAAAAAAAAAAAAAAAAAAAAAAG